CACTCCAGAGGGCAGGAGCATCGCAGGGCACATAGTGCTCCATTGTGGAAGGGAAACAAATCTGGATGAGTGGTGGTTCCCAGTCTTGGCCTTGGCTATTCTCTGCCTGCGCAGTACTTCCCCTACACCCATATTTCAGCTCACGCCAGCCTCTGGTACCCACAAGTCTTGCAGGTCCCCTTCCCCTCAATATTGTGTATCAATTAGTCACAAACAAGCAAACAAACAAAGGCTGCACACAGTAACACACACCTGTGATCTAGCAGCATTCAGAGACTAAGACATTAAGGTTACTGGTTATGTATCAAGGCCCTGGGTTTAATCCCTCGTGTAGTTTAAAACAGTGTGGTATAGAGACCTGTGATCCCAGCATTTAGGGTTAGAAGCAGGGAGATCAAGAGTTCAAGGTCGGCTTGCCTAATCCCAGCACAGGTGCAGAGGCTAGGAGATGAGGCCAGCCTGGTCTACAGAGCTACTTCCAGGTGAGTGGGGAGTGGGGGGGACGGGGCGGGGGGGGGGGGGTTCAAGGTCATTGTTTGCTACACTGAGAGTTTGAGGTCAGCCTAAGTAATCTGAGGCTGTATGGAAAATAAAATAGGTTTGCCAAGTGTGGTGGTACACACCTTTAATCCCAGCACTTGAAAGACAGAGGCGGATCGATCTCTGAGTTCAAGAGACAGCCAGAGCTACAGAAAGAGACCCTATTTAAAAAAAAAAAAATACTGAGAGATGGCTTGACACGTGTTCCTCTTTTAGAGGACCTGCGTTTTGGTCCCCAGCACTCACGTGGTGGCACATAGCCATCCATTTCAGGGGACCCAACACTTTCTGATGTACATACAAACATATAGGCAAAATAGTCATATGTAGATAAAATAAATACCTAAAAACATTATAAAAAATAAAGAAGGGAGGGGGGATACAGATGGCCTGCAATGTGAGCTGATGCCGAGTGGCTGAGTGTGACTGAACCTACTAGCCTCCATGTTTACAGTGCCTCTGTCAGTTCTCCAGCCAGACCCCCCCCCCCCCCACACACACACACACAAACCGGCTCACAGGTGCCTGCTGCTGGGAGCCCAGCACTTAAAGTATTCCTGTTTGTCCCATGCCCTCCTCTTGGGAACCACCCTGGTTCCAGGATTGTCCTGTAAGGTCACGTGAAGGATTGAGTTCTGCTTTAAGCAGGAGCTGGGAGAAACTGTTCGGGTGTAGAGTCCCTAGAGCTTCCTGGAAATGACAGTTCTCACAGGAAAAGAGCTTGCTCTCTGGCTCTCCCTCCCTCCCTCTCTGTCACTCTGTTTCTCTCTCTGGCTCTCTCTCTCTCTCTTCTATTAAAATCCTGTAGAGAGCCTGGGGTACGAGCCGATGCCCTTCCTTGAACACAGCTGCCGTTCTTTACTGTCTGCCAGTGTGCCTTCACATCCCTGACACATAAAACGATGCCGTGCCTTGAAAACCCAAATTGAGTGTTTTAGGGGAGTTCGATGAGGGAGGAAGAGCCCCCTCATTCTCAAGCTGGGTGGTGTTTTTGTTTTTTGAGACAAGGTTTCTCTGTGTAGCCCAGGCTATCCTGGAACTTGCATTATAGACCAGGCTGGCCTAGAACCCAGAGATTCGCCTGCCTCTGCCTCTTGAGTGCTGGGATTAATGGCGTGTGCCACCATGCCCAGCTGTTGGGTGTTATTCTGGCTACAAGTTTTGAGGTTGGGTATCTTCTTTGACCTGGGGCTTGCCGATACGGCTAAGCAGGCTGATCAGTGACCCTCAGGGACCCTTTCTCCCCACTGGAATTACAAGTGTGTGCCACCACCCACATTTTTATATGGGTCCTGGGGATCTGACAGAGGCCTTTGTGCTCACATAGAGCCCTTTACAAATCTGTGTCCTCAGCCTTTTTGGCCTTTCTCTCTCCTTGCTTGTCCCTGACTCTGGCCAGACCTTTATTCTATCTTTGAAGGGCTCCATCACTAGATTGGGCCTACCCAGACACCTGATTTCCATCAGCAATAGCCCTCCGAGCAGAACCTGCCTTACTGCACACGTAAAAATGCTGGAAAAGCTTACCCAGCATACATTGTGAATGTGCCAGCCCCAGAGATGTGACGTGTGAAGCAAAGGTGCTAGCATATGCTGAGTGTCTGGTGCCTGTTCGCTGCTGTGGACTAGAGCAGGCATGCAGGGCTGCCAGGCCTGGCCAGCATCCGATGACATCGAGTTCCATGGGCACCCTGAAACAGCAGGTGCCCACCTGTGGACATGGTTTCTCTGTGATCATCGTCTGCTCCCTGAGGAAGTGTGTTCTTTTACCTGAGCTGTTGCTGCACCACTGTTTCTTCCCTGTCGTATCTGTCAGTCAAAGCCAGTCACGTGGGTTAAATGTTTCTTTGGTTAGGTGCCTCGCAGGTCATGCAACAAAACCAGATTCCTGAAAGGCCTGGAGTCACAGTGTTGGGAGGCTTGTTCTTCTTTTCTTTTTTCCTTTTTTTTTTTTTTCAAATTTTTTATTTTCTCATTTAGCCTGATCTCCAACTTCCTATAGAGCTGAAGATGACTTAGGATTGGTCCCTCCCTCTGCCTCTACCTTAGAGCTGGGATTAGGCATGCACACCATGCCTTGCGGTAGGTGCTTCTTGTAGAAGCCAAATCTGGCCCAATTCAGGAGCGTAGTTGGTAGGATCAGCAGTAGTGACTACAGCATGCAGAAGCTGGAGCCACAGCTGAGAGCCACGTGGCAGCCTTCCAGCCTGACTTGTGCTTGAAGCGCAGCCTTTTCTCTGCTGTTAGGCCTCATTCCCCAACCCAGCGACTGTTGGGTCTCCCCTAACCATGGTGACGGCCCGGTGTGTAGCAGAGCTCAGAGCTTGTGGTGCCTCTGTCCTCATTCGCCATGTGTTGTGCATCTCACTGTCATTTCACAGGGGCAGGGTGGGCTCAGCAAACACATGGCAGAGTTGGCATAAGGACAATTACACTGAGCCCATCCAGTGTACCAGGCCACAGTCAGAGCTTCCCTTCTCTCTTCCAGGCCCTGAAGCGCCAGAGCTTGCTGGGCCTCTCCTTCTTCAATAGCATCCTGGCCCATGGGGACCTTCGTAACAACAAGCTGAACCAACTCTCTGTCAACCTGTGGCACCTGGCTCAGAGGCATGGCTGTGCAGACACAAGGACCATGGTAAGCACCAGGGCCCTTGCCAGCCCTCTGGCACTGACATTGATACAGCATCAGTAGCACCGCAAGCTGCCCCGTCACCCCTGAGCCAGACCCCTAAACTCTTTTGGGTGACTCCCTAGTGCTAGAAAGCATCCCCAGTCACTCACAGTAAAAACTACTTGCTTGAAAATGTCACCTACTTCTGATCACAGCCAAGTCTGATTCTTTTCCTCTGAGACAAAGTCTTAGGTAGCCCAAGCTATCCTTAAACTTGCTATATAGCCAAAGATGATCTTGAACTTCTGATCCTCCTTCCTCTAGCTAGTTTTTGTGGTACTGGGGAACATGGAAGCACTCTGCCAACTGAGCTTCATCCCCTGATCCCTGAGTCTGATTTTAGGAGTAAGTTACAATCTTACCCTTTTGCTTCTCAGAAGACACCCCATTTTCAGCTAGGCAAGGTAAGCTCACTTAGGGCCAATTCAGAAGAGGCTCCAGCCCCCAGGTAAGAGCCGTGAAGCCAAATACAAGATGGAGCTCTTTTTTCTAGGTGAAGACTCTGGACTACATCAAGAAGCGGAGCAAACAACCCGACATGCATCATTTGACGGAGCTGGCCCTGAGGCTCCCTCTGCAAACCAGGACCTGAGTACTTGCCCTTGGGGGCCCCAGTGCCATTGTCCTGGAAGACCTACTTGGCTGCCACTAACTCCTCCTGAAATTTAGTTTTTGTTATTTTTACTTTTATACAGATTGATTTAAAGCTTTTGCCTTCTGACAGCAGGTGGGGGGGGGTTGACAAAGCATTAAAATTCAGTCTTGTTCTTCAGATAGCAGCGTCTTAGTGTGTTTGCACAAGAGCATTGTGGGATATTTGTACACTGTATGAAGATGTATTGCTTTGATTGGTGTAATAAAGAGCCAGTTAAGTGGAACTTCTGAGGGCAGAGAGGACTCTGGGAAGAAGAAATGTGGAGTTGCTGGCCAGACGTGGAGGAAGGATGGGCAACACAGATAAAGGCAATGCCACGTGGCAGAATGTAGACGGATTTAAATGGGTTCATCTAAGTTATAAGAGCTAGTTGGGGAAAAGCCTACGCTCAGGCCAAACTTTCATAAATAATGAGTCCCTGTGTTGTTATTTTTGAGCTGGTGGCCCAAAGAAAATTCCAACTATCCAAGAAGCCTTCTGGTTCTTAGCCCCAGGGAGGGATCTGAGACTGGGAACCACTCAAGGGCACAGGGCTTCCTTTTCTGGAGGGTGTTTCCGCTGGCAGAAAGCAGACACAGTTGTACATCATACCTCCAGATTGGAGAGTGTCCTATAAAACCCCTTGGAGGACTAAGAAATGTCACATTGCCAGTTGACTCCTGACTCCAAGTCACATTTGGACTTCGAATACAGGAGAAAGGTCACATTTGGGGCTCCCTGTAATCCAGTACTTAACAGAGGGAGACGTGGAGGATGCCAAGTTTGAGGCCAGCCTGGGCAGTGCCCTTCCTGTAGCTGAGCCAATGTCCTGCAAGCCAGCTGCTCACTTCCGGCTCCTCCTGGAGAGCACATCCAGACTACACACTGCTGCACACTATGGCTGTGATTCTCAGCGAGTTTGCGCCTGCCCTTGATGGCTGGTGGCTTTGGGCTGTACTTCACTGTCACTGGCCAGCTGCCCCGACTGCTGATCTGGAACCCACTCCCTGTGAAAACGTATCCAAGCACAAGCTCAGCTGTGCTCCAGGCTAGCCTGCTTGCCCTGGTGGCACATACTCCAAGTCCCAGCTACTTAGGAAGTTGAGGCAGGATTGCCTGGAGCTAACCTGGGCAAAATACACAAACTCAAAACTATGTGCTTTAGGCATGGATTTTATTCATTTTTACTCTAAAACATTATACATGACTAACTTTAGAAAAGTACAAGTTAAAAATCATTTGCATATAAACTCATATGCTTACTTGTTATGAGGCTAGAGTTACTATTGTATATTTGGGGCCAATCTGACGACAGCCCCCACCACCCCAAGGAATTGAGAAAATTGTCTTAAAAAAAAAAAAAACCAACTAAACAAAATATCAGATGAGGCATGAGGCTGAGGATGTGGCTCAGCTGGTGGGATGCTGGCCAGGCGTGCACAAGCCCCACATAACCGGAGTGTGGTGGTATAGGCCTATAATCCTAGCACTCAGGAGGTAGAGACAGGAAGATCAATAGTTCAGTGTCCTCAGTTACAGGTTTGAGGCCAATATGGGATAAATGAGCCAGTCCCAAAAATAAGAATCAGATACTGAAGAATGTTTCTTGTGCTGTGAACAAACACCAGAACCAGAAAGTGCTGTGGTATCTGCCTCAAAGCTGCCCATATTGAAAGGCATCAGTTCCCAACATTGGCCCAGAAAATGCCCAGGGCTCCTGTGTTAACCCCAGGTTAGCCCTGCATTAGGCACACACACCACAGGAACTCTGAATCCTGTTGCTGACCTGGGCAGAAGTGTGGACTGGGGCAGCTTCCCTCCTGGTAGTGGCAGGCTGGTTTCTGAAAGCCCATCTCCATGGGATGGCATCTACTCCCATTAGGGAGGACATATGATGAGATTCTTAGGAAATGAAAAACAGGGACATTCCCATGTCCTAAGTTCCTGGTTATTGCTACTTTAACAAATTACATGCAGAGTAGCTTCTTGTGGTTTTTACCATCTGACAATTATTGGTCACAACTCACTGGTCCTCTGGGCTAGTTGCTAAGTTGCTTTGTGAGTGCTCTGGTGGAAGTTTACACAGCTCCTAAAGGCACCCGTGTTCTTGGCTTGGGGCCTTTTCCTTCCCAAGTGACTGTCCATGGCTTCCACGTCTCTTCCACACGAACCCTGTCACCTTCCAGTTAAGGGATTTTGTGAGGAGCCTACTCAGGTAATCCAAATCTTATTTCAAATTCATCTGACTAGAAATCTTAATTCCCTTCTGCCAAGGGTACTGGAACGGGGGAAGGACAGACGGCGTTCTGCCTGTCACAACCTGAGTAGCATGAAGCTTGCAGAGCTGAGTGCATACCCTCCTTTAGGCAACAGCTGTGTCTAATTGGGAGATACTTTTGTCAGTCAGGGTGTGGAAAGTAGCTCAGGACAGGGCCTTATATTTGGGTGACCATTGGCAGGTGACTAAGGACAAGGATATTGCTATAGAGTACCAGTAACTGGTGAGAAACGCCTGACAAACAGCCAAGTTCAAGGCCTGTGCTGGGTCACTGACCTCCCATGTTCACATGGGACATTATGCAGAAGACTCAAGTTCTGGAGAAGGTATAAGACATGGAGGTGGGGGTGGGGGATGATTCAAGCCACTACTGGTAGGACAGGAGCCTAGGTAACAGAAGCACAGCCCTCAGTGCCCACACTGTGAGTGGCAGAGACAAGGCTGGACTCGCAAGGAGGCCCACAGCCTTCTTTGCTTACAGACTCCAATTCTCTCTAGAGAAGGGTGAGCAATGGAGCACCCGAGTCAGCCTTCAGCACTGAGACGTGTGTAACAGGTAAGGAAAAGATCTGGATGACAGCTACCAAGGTGTATGTGGCATGAAATGACAACCCAGCTACCCTCTCCCACCCAGACATGGCCATGTGCAAGATATGATGCGCTAAGGCATGCTCAAACTGGAGTGTGACTACTGGAGTTACACAGCTGGTTCCCAGTACTGATCAAGGCCAGATTGGTCTAGAGCTGTGGTTCTCAACCTCTATCATGCTGTGATCCTTTGATACAATTGTTCCTCATGTTGTGATGACCCCCAACCAGAAAATTATTTTGTTGCTACTTCATATCTGTAACGTTGGTGTTAGGATTTATGACATAAACATGAGACCCACATAGAGGACATGGCCCACAGGTTGAGAACCACTGGTCTAGAGGCTGACTTAAACAGAATTCTGTCCTCTGAGAATGAAGGGCTCTTCTTTTTTGTACCTTGCGGTTGAATCTATGAAAGACCAAGTTCATCTGAGGGAGTGGCCTAAACAGGTCTTTGCTAACAGACAGACCTGTAGGATGTGTCATGGCCCATGCCAACGGGTCAGGACAGGGTGGAGAGAGGCAGCTGCTTCAGGCGGTCTCTCCACTGCTGCCCATGTGGCAGTATGGAACACCTCACCCTCTGTGGCTGGCCTGAGGGGCATCTCCCTTACCATAGGGCCTGATACAGGACCATCCACACAGAACTGAATGAAGCCATGAAGGTTTCCTAAGAGGCTGCTGAAGTTTCTTTGGCCATAAAAAGGGTTTTCTCCCAACTCCAGAATACCGTGGGGCAGCCTGGAATTGCCTTTGCCAGCTTCCCGACAGCTCAATTACACAACCGCTGAGGATGGAGGATGAAGGATGGAGGTCCCAGCTGAGCGTAGCATCAATCCCTCCACTCCCCACCCCTGCTAGGACTTCTGCCTAAGCGAGAGCAGGCCAGCAATGGGGTATCTGTGTGAAGTGCCACACCAAGAGACGGGAAAATGTCCTTATGTGAGTCTCAATGCCAGACTGCAAGGGCTGGTAGAAGAAAGTCCCATTGTGTGGCTCTCTGAAGCTGGAGCGTCCTGAAGCTTGCTGTGCAGTTCAGGTTGGGGATGGTGCCGGCAACAGATGAAGCACCTTCCTTCCCATTGGTCCTTACGTTTGACTTTACACAAGTGGTCTGTTAACTCACTGTTGAGGATCTCACATGGGTCCACATGTAGGTTACCTGCTGTCCAAAATGCCGTGTTTGACATTCAATCCATGTGCAGAAACATCAAATCCAAGCACTGCACTCAGACGGAAGGACGACAGCTGGAAAGCCTCCAGCTCAGAGGTCTATCTCCACAGAGGAGAAACAAATTTGTTGGTCCCCATGGAAGACATGGCATAACACTTGCTTTCTTCATTCACTGATCACCGAGTGAAGCTGTGTGATGTACTCTTGATGGCACTTAGCGGAGGTGACCCTGGGCATTTTATTACTTTATCCCTGAACTTAAGAGGTGATGAAAATAGCACCCATTCCATAATTAGGTTTAAATACATCAATGCAAGGAAAACACCTTAGTCAGGGCCCTGCACATGCCAACAACTGCTAGCTACTATTACTTAAAACACTTTCACCCAAGGAGGTGGAAGGTTTAGAACAGAAAATAGGAGGTTTAGCCACTGGTACTGGTTCCTGACATAAGCAGCTTCCACCTGCTCGTCCAAAACTCAACACGAGTGGTCCTCAATGTCCTCAGGTGACTGATCCAAGCCAGCTTAGCAGATGGAAAACTGATCAAGAAATGCAGTTTTAGGAACAGGGCAATAAAGTTTAATCTTGCAACTTAATAGACTTGGAGGCGTTCCGGTCAATGTAGAAGACCTTGCGAGCCTCAGAGGAGAAGCCCAGGCCAGCCCCACGGCTGTACTTCCAGCTCATGGCCCGGTCATAGTCCTGCTGCAGATTCTGCTGGAGTGTGTCTGAAGACTTCTTGTCCAGGGCCATGTTGTGCCTGCTAGTCATGCTGGGAGGGCGGCTGAATGACGGGGACAGATGCTTAAAGCCACCCATAAGCTTCAGGAATTTCAGCTTCTGTTCTTCATTTTCAAAGCCAGCAGTGTCCCACTGACCAAACTGGGTTCCCTGAGTAGAGAGTAAAGGCTGTCATTGCCCTTGAAGACAAACACCTCCTCTCCCTCAGCCAAACAATGGACTGTTTCATCCATCCCAATGAGTCCTAATGCTTAATGGGAGTGATGTGTCCAGAAGGACCAGCCCGAGAGCCCACCACTGGCTTCTCACAAGGGCATCACTGCACACCAAGCTAATTTGAGCTCTACTCTTTCTCCCAACACATGGCGACAGCGAGAAACTTCACCTCACTTCATGTATCACACACAATACCTCAAAACACAAGCACACCTCACCTGACTCTGTAACACTTCCCAACCTTTCCACAGCCCACCTTGTGTTTTCTGTGTGTGTTCATACACAATGTATGTGCACACATGTGGAGGTCAGAGGATAATCTCAGGTTGGTCCTTGTCTTCTACCTTGAGACAAAATCTCTATTGATTTTTCTGCTGCATATGCTTGGCTGGCTCTGAGCTTCCAGAGATTCTCCTGTATTGCCTATATTATGTAGTGAGCCTCTGATTTTAAGTATCCATTCTGAGAGGGAAGCTTATAACACCCAGGAAGTAAACTCATAAGTCTCAGACAGTCCTTGGAACTTAGCAGATCACAAGGCCCTTTCCTCCTCAAGGTCGCATGAGCAGGAAGGACTGCAGACCAGCTGAGCAGCCTGCAAGTTGTGCACAGAACTCCAGAGTTTCAGCTTTCATGAGCTGTCACTCATGCTGAGGAGACTTCTGGCAAAGCAGCCACCCTTCAGCTATTCATACTCTTCTAAGTAACACCTCACCCATACTCCTGCAACCCCAATAAACTAGTTTATTCAGTTTTGGTGGTATCATTACTTTGGTCTGACATTAACTCCCTATCTGGGGTAAGCAGATGTTTGGTTGTACATCCAATAGATCAGTGTCATACAACAGACTCCCAGCACCTCACAGGAGTGCTGACATCACAGACACTTGTGTGTCTGGCTTTCAAGGGACTTGTGGGGATTCAAACTTAGATCCTCATGCTTGCTTGAGTGGCAAGTACTTTCAGCACCAAGCCATCTCCCTCACCCCTTTCTCCACCTTGTAGCACAGAGCACATCATAACCCTTCCCTCAGTCTCAACACAGCAAAGCTGCCCCACACCACAGCACTCACCAGCCAGGTACTCCAGACAAGAGTAAGGTCAGGACCCACCAGTACACAGAAGGCCCTGTGCTAGAAAACCCACTCCACCTCAGGTCTGCAAGATGGGCAAGAAGCCCAAGTCCCCAAGACTGTGACGCTGAAGTTAAGGCAGCGTGGGATAAAGCCCCACCTGTGTGATCCAGTCACAACCACTCTCCCTAAGCCTCAAAGCCCTCTTCTAATGGGCTAACACCCTCACACCAGCACCAGAGAGCAGAGTCAGGCCTTATGCCAAAGCCACAGCACACATTTTTCACCATATCGTAGGTCCACAGTGAAGAACTTCTCACCACCTGACTGCTGACCTCCACATGGCCCAAGAGCCAAATGCCAACCTAGCACTCATTTCTAAGTTGGTGTTGGGAGACAATCAGAACAGGCATCACTACAGCTGTCCTAGATGAACTGGTGACATTCTCTCAGCCTCATGTGACCCACGTAAGTGTGGCTTCTTAGACTGCAGTTTCTAAGGCAGATGCTGCCTGGGACACCAGTTAGATCCAAGCCCAGGGCTGACTGGGCCTGCCAGTCTGGAATCCCCATCAATGCAATAGAATTTCCACAAGCAGGTGACCAAGGACACCCAGAATACCTCTGGCTGGCTCCAGGACCCATGCTCTGGCAGCCAGATTACGAGAATGGTGCCTGGAGCACTGGTTGAGTGATGTGACCCTGTCTCGTTCTATTTATTCAATTTGCTGTCCTATCAGCTCTGCTCAGCCTAAGAGGTAAGAAAGAAAACACACAACAAAACTCCAGGGCTAGAGATGCGGCTCAGTTGGTAAAGTACCTGCCTAGCGTGTATAAAGCCCTGGGTTCTATCTCTGGCAGTATATAAACCAGGCCTAGTGTGCATGCACTTGGGAGGTACAGGCAGGAAGATTAGGAGTTCAAGTTCATACTTGCCTACACAGTCTTTTTTTTTTTTTTTATTTAGCTAATTCTTTCTTTTTTTTTTTAATTTATTAAAGATTTCTGTCTCTTCACCACCTCCGCCTCCCCTTTCCCTCCCCCTCCCCCAATCAAGTCCCCCCCCCCCATCAGCCCAAAGAGCAATCAGGGTTCTCTGCCCTGTGGGAAGTCCAAGGACCACCCTCCTCCATCCAGGTCTAGTAAGGTGAGCATCCAGACTGCCTAGGCTCCCACAAAGCCAATACGTGCAGTAGGCTCAAAAACCCATTGCCATTGAGGTCTCAGTAGCCCTCATTGTCCGCTATGTTCAATGAGACCTGTTTTAACCCAGGCTTTTTCAGACCCAGGCCAGCTGGCCTTGGTGAGTTCCCCATAGAACATCACCATTGTCTCAGTGTGTGGGTGCACCCCTCGCGGTCCTGAGTTCCTTGCTCGCCTACAGTCTTTGTATGAGGCTACATGAGACCCTATCTAAGCAAACAAAAAGACCTACTCCATCCCCTCTGCCCATCCCCTGAGGCCATAATAGGAGCCCATTTAATAGAAGTGGAAACTGAGGTTCTCCAAGGAGAAGACACAAGCCTAGAGAGTGGCAGTCAGTAACTGGCCTCAGGCCTCGCATCCAGATCAACGCTGTCTGTTAAGCAGGAGGCTAAGGACAAAGCAGGCCCTACCCCTAGGTGTGGTCCTTCCCTCTCTCCTCCCAAATTTACTGAGTACCAAGTCCATGGCCACACCTCCCAAACACATCACAAAACTTTCTGTGCTACCTCCTATTCCCCTTTCTGTACCTAAACTCCACAGTGGCCCCTTGGGTCACTGCCCAGTAAAAATGTCCCCATGGTCCTGGAGTGAACTGGAGTGACACATTAGCTAGTTCCTGCTACCCTGTCACCAGTCTAAGTCCACTCCCACTTCTGGGCCCTGCACGCTAAGGACAGGTACCACCACTCTCCGGGTCTTAAGATAGGTGCCACCTGCTCCGAGAAGCCTTCCTCCTAGTCATCTAGGACAGCATACAAACCCTCCTCCACACTCACCCCCTCTAGGCCCTAGACCAATAGTTTTCAACCTTCCTCATGTTGTGATCACCCCAACCATAAAATTCTTTTTGTTGCTATTCCATAACTGTAATTTTGCTACTGTTAAGAATTGCAATACAGCCAGGTGGCGGTGGCACATGCCTTTAGTCCCAGCTACAGAGAAACTGTCTCAAAAAAAGAAAAAAAAAAAAAAAAAAAAAAAAAAAAAAAAAAAAGAAAAGAAAAAGAATTGTAATACAGCCGGGCAGTGGAGGCAGAGGCAGGTGGATCTCTGTGAGTTTGAGGTCAGCCTAGTCTATAAAGTGAGTTTCAGGACAGCCAGGGCTGTTAAACAGAGAAACCCTGTCTAGAAAAACTAAAAAGAATCATAATGTAAAATATCTGTTTTCCAATGGTCCTGTGAAACAGTCATTTGACCCTCACGGGGATTGTGACCTGTCACAGGTTGAGAGCCACTGCACTAGACAGGCTGACGAGGGTCCTGTGTACCTGCACACCCAGCACAGGCAGGATACCAGCTAGGCGCTGAGGTTCGGCAGCTGACTGAAGGCAGACATGTGATGCTATGGCCAGGCCCAACAACCTATGTATCCATGGCCCTCATATTTTCTCCCACCTGGCTTACCTTCTCAGAGAGGGTCTTGGACATTTTCCAAATCTTGGAAAGACTTAAGGGTCTTGAGTCTTAGAGGCCTGGCCCCCACTTCCATATTTCCTGCATGCCCTTAGCACCCTCCATGGGCACTTCTCACAGCTACAAAGAGCCCCTTCTCATCCCGTCATCTACAACAGGACAGGAAGCCTAGGTGGCACGTCTCAGCGGTGAGCTCCCTAGCAGGGAGACCAGCACCTTCAGAGGAAGTGCAGCTGGCTCAGACCAATTCTGTGCCTGGGCACCTTAGGTTCTAGATGTCAATTCCACCACAGTAAACCCACCGTCCACTTCTTGGGTTCTGAAGCCTCTGTCTTGCCCGACTCACGATCAATCTCCTCTTGCAAGGCCTTCCGCCTCACCTATACAGGACAAAAGAGGGTGATGAGACCCAGAATCTTTTCTTTTTTTTAAACATTTTATGGTTTATTTAACTTTGATTTTATGTGCATTGGTGTGAAGGTATGAAGTGTCAGATCCTCTGGAACTGGATCTTCAGACAGTTGTGAGCTGCCATGTGGGTGCTGGGAATTGAACCCGGGTCCTCTGGAAGAGCAGTCAGTGCTCTTAACCACTGAGCCATCTCTCCAGCCCCCGAGACCCAGAATCTTAATGCTGCACAGAGGTAGGGCAGAGGTGCGGGGTGGCAGTTCAAGAACTTCACTCTGCTACCAAGCATACAGGACACTCTGGTTGATAGCTGGCCCCTGAGCCTGAAACACTTGTCTTGGGCACAATTTCTTGAGAAGTGATTTTCTTGTAACAGAGAGTCATCCCTTTACCAGGAGAACATTCTATAACAGTGATGTTTTGAAACTTGTCCACACTGTAATGCCCAGGCCCTGTCTTGGGCATACATATTGTGTATACTGAAGTCAACTTCCACAAGGAAAGCACTGCTTTCTAGAAATATGACAGACACGAGCTGGAATCCCAACAATGCTCCTAACCAGCTGTGCAGCCTTGCAAACCTCACCTAACCTTTCTGATCACTGGATTATTCATCTGCAGAAGTGGAAAAGCTCCAGAAGCTTGTGGTTGGGGAAGAAACAGCAGCATCTGTAGCAAGAGAACTGGGCACTCTCAGGCTAGGCCAGCTCAGGGTCCTGCTCTGCCAGCACCCAGCAGCCCACGGTGCACTGGGCACTCTCGGGCTAGGCCAGCTCAGGGTCTCTGCCAGCACCTTGCCAAGGATTTAGCTCTAACTTATTCTCCTTCAGGACTTTGAAATGAAGGGACCTTTCACACAATTCTAAACACAAAATGTACAAGAGCTGCTGTAGAGGAGAAACCTGGGAAGAGGGTAACAGGTGAGTGATCACCAAGACAGAGCAGTGAGTAGATAGATCTGCATGACTCCCCCCTTCTCAGTCACAGAGTGAGCACTCAGGAGTTCAGGCACGACAGTGAGTGTGAGAACTCCAGCTGTTGTCCTCTCAGAAATGTGCTATCTTCCCATTTTAGACACAAGCAACTTTCAGTATCTATGGGAAAACAAGAGACTCAAGGGCCACCCCAAAAGCTTCAGGGACTACATTTAGTAGGCACAGAGAACTACAAAGTCCAAGAGCTCTGCACAGTGCTGGGTGGCTGGGGCTGCTCAGCATTTGGCTGTCTTAGGGGACTAAGGACACCCAAAAGCAGCAAGGGACAGGGCTTGGGAGAATTGAGACCCCATGGTCAGGCCCTCTGCCTGGTGTCCTGGGCCATTATAGCATCCCTGGGCCTGCAGTGAGGTTAGGAACTGCCTGGAGGCCAGTGGTTCAGGCCTGCCCAGGAGAGATGCTCCAGCAGCATCCTTCCTCTGGTCCTCCCCTTAGATACAGCAAGCATCACTCTGTTACAAGTGCAGTTCCCCGATCACAGCACTACAGCAGGTTTGGCTCATCACCATCTCTTCTGAGTGGCTCTCCTCAGACCCCACCCACTTCTAAACACAGCCTCCATCTTCCTTTCTTTCCTAAGGTGGAGATGATGACCTGAGAGGCAGGATTAGCCAATCTGACATAGTGCTGCCTCCTTCCAATACACCCTCCCCTTGGCTTCCACAGCTGCCTGGAAGGACCCATGCTGATCCACAGAAGAGAAAGGTCAGCAGCCAGTAAACCACAGACTAACACCAGGCCCCCACAGCTCCTCAATCCTGTCAGGCCAAAGAGTCAAGGGACATAAAAACGGCCCGTCTCCACAAAGTCTAAATCCCTCACAGGAACCTGCATGTGACAGAGTGGAAACTAGTCTCTCTCAAGCTCCTGAACTTATTCATGGAGACAACCCATGGGTGTGGCTGGGTGCATGTACCTGCTCTAGCTACAGACAGGGTCATAGGACCTCCGTCTTCCTGGCAGCCTGCAATGGGTTACATGGGAGGGCCTATCAGGACCCTTAGAAATAGTCACAGCAGTTTTGGCATCCCCTAGCTAGAGGTACAGAAGGGTATGAGTTCACCTGCCCCTAGAGGTGTGCCATGGAATCAGCCAAAAGGCCTTCAGAGATCCTAGTCCCTCTGAGCCCAAGAACTTGTAGCCTGATGTGTGCTGAGGGTTCCTAGGGGGTGACAAGAGGTAAAGCGGGGGGCACGGGACAGGCTGGGCCATACCTGATCTATGCAAGCCTCATCCATGTTGCCTTTCTTTTCCAGTACCACCTCCAGGTCCGACTCCTGCAGGAAAGTCAGATATTAACTCAGGCAAGCCCCAGCAGCCCTCTGAGTAAAGTCACACGATCTAGGAAAGAGGAGAAAGCACAGCAGCACTAGCGTCTGCCACCAAGACAGAACCTCAGTCGACAAGGCCTTGCCCACTTTCCCTTTCATGCATCTCCCCAGCAAATGGTGCCATGAACTCAGATGACAGACGAAGAAGCAGAGGCTCAGAGAGGTAAAGGGATTTAGAACCAGATCACACCCTGAAGCAGTGACAGGCCAACTCCAATTCAGCTCTCCTGACTCAAGGCTGATGGCCCAGCAGGGGTCTCCCCAGCTATTTTTATCCAAGTCCTAGGGATATCCTCTAATTGCAAGTCAGGCCCGGGGCAGTACCCGGTCTACCACGAATGACAACTGCCAACAGCTTTTGCATTCTTTCTTCAGAATGCTGTACATGGCCCCACTGCCACGTATGTGTATATGGGATGACTGGGTGTGTGTGTGCGCGTGTGCACATGCGTGCACAAGTGCACTTTCTTTACCCCTCCTTGCACTATTACTGGCCTGTGTGACTCAGGAAACTTTGTGGGCTGTCTGGGAGATGTGAGGCAGAGGGGATACCTTACCTGATCTCTTCAGGGAAAGTGATCCTAAAATCAAATGGAACTAGCTTTAAACCTCTGGGTTCCCTAACCCTGAAGTTTGTGTGTTCCATGTCCATGGGTACATTCAGTTGGAGGCAATCAGCGTTGTCTTCTGTCATTCTCTTATCATTGCCTTGAGATGGGGTCTCCCAAAGAACCAGAAGCTAGTTCTTGGAACCTCCCTTCCCACTAGTGCTGAAATCACAGGCATATACTGCCATGCACAGCTTTTAGGTGGCTACTGGGGATTTGAACTCAGGTCCCAGTGGTTACAGAGCAAGCACTCTTACCCACTAACCATCTCCCTAGCTCTGAGTTTCTGAATAAAGAAGAGCATGTCTGATTGACCTAAGTTTACTTACCCAGGACCCACATAATAAAGGAGAGAATGGTCTTCCTCAAATTGTCTTCTGACTCGCACAATCAAGCCATGTGTGGTCAGAGAGAGCCTAATGCATGAAGACAAAGCTGGGAGGCCAGCAACCAGAAGCCCTCTGCAGGCCCCAACATGGGACTATCCCTGTCATCCCAACCCCATCTGGAAAAGAAGATGAAGATCAGCAACATCTTCCTGACAGCCCTGTCTCCCAAGGTGCTCCTCACTCAGGAAATGGCCATCAGCAACTGTAGGAGGGAGGGCCACTGGGCAATGACTGGCAGAGCTAGAGAAGCCAGAGCTTGCTCCCATTGAAGACAGTCACTTCTTGGGCTGCTGAGACAATGGAAAATGGCTTTTCGGAAAGGACACACTGGCATCTCCTGAACCAGAAGCAACACTGTCTGGGTGTGTCACCCAACTCTACCTGGCCCCAACTGGGTGACCTCAGACAAATTCTTCAGCCTCACGCTGTCCTTATCTGTAAGCTAGAGAGAAGCAGGATGGTTTCTCCATCGGACTTGTGGGTGAAGTTGAGAGCTACAGACTATAGCTGCAGATACCAGGCTATCTCAAACTATCAGTTTTGGAGGTAGCCAGCAAGTGAAAAGAACACAAGCCATAAGACAGTCATGTAAAAACACACTCCATTTATGGATGGCGAAGGACAACTGTACTTCTTACTAGAGATGCTGCAGGAGCCCCGGGATCCACTGTACTTGAAAACAGATAATTCCTATCCTTTTCTAGCATATATTCACACACACACAGTGAGGGGTTCCGTTAGCTAAATGCACAAGTGCCCATGCTGACGTGTCTATAGGTACTCACATGGCAACCCCACCAAGTCCCAAGGAATCCTACCTCTTCTTCCTCCTGCCAGCGATCTTTCTTTACTCCACTGTCTTTCCTCTTCTTTTTCTTCCTTTTCACAGCCAGCCCTTCACTGTCTGGCTGGTCCACCTTTTTCTTGGATTTCACTTTCTTCTTCCCAGGGGACTTTGGGCTGTCTATTGGGATGTAGTCCAAAGCTTCGCTTTTGAGTGACTTCTTACTTCCTTTCTTCAGGCTGCTCTCTACAGAGACCTTGGAGTGGATTGGGAGGATGTCTCCCTCTTGGTGTGTCTTCTTCTTCTTTTTCTTTGTGCTGTGCTCTCTGGGGCTCCCCTGCTTCCTTTTCTGCCCCAAGGCCGCCTGCTCCTCACCCTCTGTCTCCCCTGAGCATGGGCACAGAGCATCCCCAGCCTCACAGAACCACGAGTCCTGGGGAGGACAGGCCTCAATGTCCAGAACCTTTTTTTCCTTCCTGTGTTTTTTGGCCTTCTTACTGGTTTTGCTTACTTCCTCAGCACGCTTGGGGTCTGGGGAGGTCTTCAGCACTGAGCCTTGGGAGGTGGCTGGTGGTAAGGACTTCCCCCTCTTCTTTTTCTTCTCTCCGCTGAGGCATTCTGCTGACTGCTCACGAACCTGCCTTCTAGGGCTGGGGGACTTTTTCCATCCTCTCTGTGTGGCCTCAGACTCCAGGTGCTCCTCCAAGTGAGCACTAGGGTACTTTTTCTTCTTCTTTCTCTTGCCCAGTGATGTCTCAGGGTCCTGTCCTTCACCCACATTGTTGGAGGGGGATGTGACTCTTGGAGGAGAAACATCGACAAAATAGACTGAGTATTGAGTCTCTGGTTCTGTGACCTCTGTAACCATCGTCTTCTTTCTCTTCTTCTTCTTTTTCTTCTTCTCTGGGAGCCGGGGGCCCAGGTCTACTTTCTGAGTCTTGGTGACCATTCCTGAGGAGAAGAACAGAAATAATGCCATTTATCATTTTACCCAGTCCCAGGCTGTGGTTCTGAAGCTCTTTATAGTGTTTCTCTGAGTGGGCAGCTTGACGTGCGAGGAGATGGGGAAAACAGTCCCCATTCACTGGGAACAGGAGGAAAGACATTTAAATGGCAGGAAGTATAAATCCAGATAGCCCTTTGTTCAAAGCCAAACTACTCACTCAACTTGACTCTGATCACTTAACCTCTCTGAATGTCAGTTGCCTTTTCTGGGAGGAAATAACACATCCATCCTGGAAGAGGTGCTGGAGAAACTACAGAAAAGAGCACTGGTGAGACCTTGTCTACCATCTTCCTGAAACCACCAGACCTAAATTCAACAGATCTTTACCAAGTGGCTACCCAAGGCAGCACTGCAGGACCCAACTGTGATCAAGCCTTTGGCTGGCCCCAACAGCTTCCCTTTTACCAGATGAAGTAGAAATTCCATACAGCCTTCCTCACTGACTCCCATCAGACCCCAAATGTGACCAAGTTAAGTCAACCCCTTCCTCTGGCTGATCTAAATAGTGCTACAACACTAGATAGGATGAATCCCTTGTCCCTCAACTTTTATCATCCCAAGCTACCTAAACAACATGGCATAGTGAGACAAGCCTCAGCCAGGACTCCAAACACTTGTGTCCAACGGAAACACTGGTATTCTCCTTCTTGCCTGATAGCATCTGCTTCTCTGGACCTCAGTTTTACCCTCCATATAAAGGCTGAACCAGAAGGTACTCAACTGGGGGCTGCCTCAGTCTGCAAGCCTGTTTCACTTCTTCAATTTCAAAGTGATTGCTGAGAATTAATGAGTGGCAATAACACTTAGAAACCATGATTACCTAGCTTTCCTCAGGAAAATGGAAGTACTTATGACAAGCGGTTAGAGGCCTCAATATATGGCTTTCACTACAGTCACCAGTCTGGTTCTTGCTACTCCTGGACTAAAGGGAACTTAGAGACAAAACACCAGAAGATTCTAAGGGGGAGGTGAAAATTAGGAGACCAGGAGCAACTCCATCCTGCAGCACTCCTTGGCTTTGAGCTCACAGGCCCCACACAGGACTCAGGTCATTCTTGGCAGCCTCAATGATCTAGGCCAAGCCTGAGCTATATAGTTCATGTCCATTCACACCTTGCTCTAGGGTTATGTGGACATTTCTGGTAATAGCTAAAGCCATGCATTCATTCCTATCTACCCTATCGCCCGATGTATTCCTGGAGCTGCTCAGGTTGTTTTTCCAGAGCAGGTTGTCCATACTTACTACAGGACCACTAATGATTCAGAGATGAATGCTATCAACACCAGTCATCAAAGCAGGCAGGCGGGGAAAGACACAGGTGCTAAGAGGAAGGGCAGGCCAAGCGTGACAGCAAGTATGCAAGCAATCCAAAGCTTGGAAAGTTTGGGAAGGCAGAGGCAGAGCCTGGAAAAAACACAAGTTAGAAGCCAGCTTGGTCTACAAAATGTGTGCCAGGCCAGCCAGGGGTGCATAGGAAGCTAACACAACCCTCTCTCCCTCCAGCAAGGACCAAAGGCAGCAAGATAGCTTGTTTTTTGTTTGTTTGGGTTTTTTTTTTTTTTTTTTTTTTTTGAGACAGGGTTTCTCTGTAGCTTTGGAGCCTGTCCTGGAACTAGGCTCTTGTAGACCAGGTTAGCCTCGGACTCAAGAGATCCACCTGCCTCTGCCTCCTGAGTGCTGGGATTAAAGGCGTGTGCCACCACTGCCTGGCAGTAAGATAGCTTGTTAAAGTTTAGGGTTAGGAAGGTCACATAACATGCTTATCTTATAGATAGGGTATCAACTGTTGTGATAAAACACAGGACCAACAACAACTTGCAGAGGGGGTGTAGGTCATCTTACACTTTTAGGTAACAGTCCATCACCGAGGGGAGTAAGGGCAGGAAGGAAAGAACTCATACAGATGCCATGGAGGAACGCTGCTTGCTGGTTTGCTCCTCGTGGCTAACTCAGCCTGCTTTCTCAGACAACTCAAGACCACCTCCCAGGAGTGGCATTACTCACAGTGGGCTGGACCTTCCCACATCAATTATTAATCAAGAAAATGCCCCCACAGACTTGCCTATAGATCAACGTTATGGAGGTATTTCCTCAGCTCTGAATTCCTCTTCCCAAATGACGCTAGCTGACCTCCAACTAACCATGACAGTGTCCAGTTGTCAAGAAAATTTTTGTTCGAGGCCAGCCAGCCTGGTCTACAAGGCTAGTTCCAGGACAGGCACCAAAGCTACAGAGAAACCCTGTCTCGAAAAACCAAAAAAAGAAAAAAAAAAGAAAAAATTTGAACATGGTTCTCTAGCTTGGGCAATAATAGGATGGCGGTGTCAACCCTTTAGACTAAAGTGGAGGGTGATCCGGCAGCCAGCTGCCTCAGACAGAAGCCTTGAAAGTGCCACCGACCGGTGTATGTCCAGGTAGGAGGCAAAGGTGTGACTCTGGCCAACATGGATGACATGAACAGGACTGCAATGATGGTAATTAAGAAGGAAACAGATTGGGCCTCAAGACATACCGACTTTTAGAGGACAAGGGAAGGGGGTTCACACGGGAGAGGAAGATACTTGTCCCAAAAGGGCGGTGTCAAACAAGACCAGGATGCTACAGGACTGGGGGTGGTGGTCAAGAGAGAAGGCTGGAAGAAAAAAGTCCCAGGAATCAGCTTAATCCACTTTTAGCTCTGCCCCTGGGCACTCTGCAGCATCCTGCTTTCCAGTACGGTAACTGTTCCGGGCATCCACTCTCGACAGAAGTGGAAACGAATCTACACTGCATCACCTAGGAACACATGCTTTCTTCAAAAGCGCTGTTTTGGATAAACTTGGCTACGCCGGCCTGGTCTACAACTCCAGCCTCAGCAGCCCGCGCGCTGGAATTATAGACGTGGGCTATTACGCAGGCTCTTAAGGCACTTTGAAATTCCCGCAGTAGCCTCAGGCAGAGTTGGTGTGACCGCCCCCGCAAACATCATAGGCCTCGGAGACGTTAAATCACTAGGTCTCAAAGTCAGCAAGGGGCAAAACACGGATTCGAACTCAGAGGAGCGTGTGCTGTCCTCACGAACCACAGACTGCTAGCTAGGGTCATCCCCAGGCCGACTTCAAGATGGGAGGACTTCGGGAAGAAACCGAGGGCTGCGGACAGGTTTGGAAGTGTCTTATCTTTGTTCTTCTTCTCTCACGGTGCAGGACCCACCAAGCCGCTCGTCCGCGCCACCCAAACTCACCTGGTGCACCCGCAGGCCAAGCGACCCCACGTGAGCGCCCGCGCCGCTGCGACCCGGAAGTCATTTTTGCGCCTCTGGCCCGCCCCCCGGAGGGATGTCTACTTCCGGGTCGAGGCCTCACGTCGCCCACGGTTGCTTTGGAAACCGCGTGCATGGCGGCGTTCTGACAGGTGTCCAACCGCAGCGCGCAGCGCCAGGAGGCGGGAGGTTCGGTGGACTCTTCGGTCACTACACGGATGCCCGTGCCCGCAGTGTCGCCCGGGTCCCCAGAAAGGCTCGTGTCGCCCGCGCTGGTCGCCGAGCCGCCGGGGAAGAACCTGTGGGAGCAGATCTGCGAGGGTAGGCAGCCGCGGCTGGCCGGGCCAGGCGGGACGCGGGCGGGATCCGCGGGGACGCGCGTTCCGAGCCTCTGTGCGCCAGGCGGGTGACGCGTGCTGGCGGACCAGCCAAGCCTCGGGCCCACACGCGGAGAAACAGGCTGGCGGCTGTCTGGATTCCGGTGCGACCCCAGGCAACAGGCATGCAGGAGGAAACTGAGTCAAGGAGTTGCGTGGTGTGGGGCTTCGACACTGCGGCCACCCGCAGAGCTTCCACTGGGAGGCAGGGAATGGGCTCTGTAGACTGGCCCAGGTAATTCCACTGTACGGAGTCAGCGGCCCATTCGGGGCGTACTTCGGTGTGGACAAATGGGTCTTGATCTCTTCTTGCCCACAAGCCCCCCTGAGCTCCCACGAACACAGGCTATCTCACTTGGTTCTTTGTAGCCCACGTACCTTGGCCGTGGGGTCCTGGGATAGCCTTACAGTGAGCACAACAATGGTACGGATGTCGTGATGTTAGGAGACGGAACCACATAGCCACAAATCCCTGGTTACAGGAAGAGTGTTAGTTTTCCTTAATTCCTAAGCTTTCAGATCTTAAAGTCAAAGACACAGATTCATTCCTAATCATTCTCTGTCACCGTCTTTCCCAGTCCCTACTTCCCCTCTGCCTTTTCTCTTTCCTCACTTTGTACTGCAGACTGGCCTCCAGCTCATAATACCTGGGGGACCTAAGCAGAGCTGTAACACTTTCGCTCTGGAAACTTTCTCTTAAGCAAGCAAGTCTGTAACATGCTGTGGAATAATCCTGTACACTGTGAAGACTTGTTGCTCTCATTGTTATTCTTTCGGAATAAAAAGCTGATTGGCTGGTGCCTAGGCAGGATTTTCCAGACAGAGAGAATGCTGCGGGGGGTGGGGGTGGGGTTGGAGTCTCAGAAGAGGCCATGAGACACAGAGTGAGCAGGATGGGAAGTGCATATTAGGTAAACGAGCCTCAGGGCAGCACCTAGATCAATAGAAATGGGTTAATTTAAGTAATAAGAGCGAGCTAAAAATGAGTGTAAGCTATTGGCCAAGCATTTATAATTAATATTAAGTCTCTGTGTGGTTATTTGGGGGGCAGCTGGTGGGACAGAAAAGTCCGCCTACAATAACACTTCACTGGACCTGAGCAGAGCTCTAACAGCTTCACTGGGGAAACCTTTCCCTGGAGCAGAGCCGTAAACTGCTCCACTTCCAGTGACTTTGTGGTGCTCCTTGCCCGTCTCTCCATCCAAGCTGCAAGGCTTACATAGTCCATCACTGCAGCAGGAGCTCATGGCAGCCGGGCCCACTGTATTCACCAGCAGGAAACAGGAGTGCTGGGGTTCAATTCAATTGCTCCTTTTTATTTAGTCCAGGACCCTAGCCCATAGGATTGGTGCTGCCCAAATTCACAGTGGGTCATTCCTCTCAATCTAATCTAGAAACTTCTTAACAAATATGCCCAGAGGTTTGTCTCCTAAGTGATACTTGACAGTATCACAAATAGTGTTGAGGAGGTGCTGTCTGGGGGAGGTAATTCCTACTCACAGGGCTATCGTGGGGACCAAATGAGATAATGTATGAAAAGATGCTCTGGACTTTAAAATAATCAATATATGACCTTAAATATTTATAAAGAAACTTGCTTTGCCTTCTGTTATGGAATTGGTTTCTTTGGGGTCATCATGTCTGGATCAAATCAGGGACAAAAAGTTTCAGCGTTCTCTGAAAAGCAAGTGAAAAGCTGATACAAAGAAATAGCTGTTAGTTAATGATGATGGGTTTTCTATATGGCCACCATGACTTCAACCTAGATGACTGTCCTGGATATTGTTAATGATGTTGGGTTTTATATATGACCACCATGACTTCAACCTAGATGACTGTCCTGGTTATTTTTCTTGTGCTGTGATAAAACACTGACCAAAGGCAACTTGGGAAAGAAAGAGTTCATTTTAGCTTACAGGTTCTAGTCCATAGTTGAAAGAAGTCAAGGCAGGAACTCAAAGCAGGAACCTGAAACAGAAAACCATGGAAAAATGATACTTATTGGCTGGCTCCTCTGGTTGTTGCTAAGACAGCTTTTCTTATATAAACCAGGGCCATCTGCCCAGTGCTCATATTGCCCACATCAATGAACAATCTAGAAAAATGCCTACAGGAATGTCCACAGGCCAGTTTCTTTGAAGCAGTCCCTCCAGTTGAGACTATGTCAGATGACTCTGGTCTGTGTCAAGTTGACAGCTGAAGCTACCTGGAAGAATGATGAGACCTAATTGTTACACATATAAACAATGTAGTTTCTGTATAGTAAGAACATAGCAAATACATTCAACTTCCTGGAGGAAGCATGGAGCTGGGTGTAGTGGTGCATAACTGTAATCCTAGCCCTTGAGGGACTGGAACTGGAAGAGCCAGTGTTTGAGGCCAGCCTGAGCTACATAGACTCTCCAAAGAGCCAAGAAAAGGGGTGGAGTGGGGAATAAAAAGTGTATATTCTTTCCGGTAATCTTATCCCTGAATTTAGTTATTACATTTCATTAGCATAAATACATTAAAAAGGGCATCACAGCCAGTAGACTTGGCAGGAGCTCAATTTCATGAAAACAAGATACAACATCGGTCTATCTAACTTAAGTCCTTTCTCTTCCCTGCCTCTGCTGCTGCCGTGTGTGCACCTGTCTTCCTGCCTATCTGATAACTTATTTGTAAATGTTCATCTTTCCAGCAACAACTAAAGCCTTTATATTCTCAAGATTATATTGTTATAAGTGCTTCTAATTAAATCATAAACTGATTTGTGATGTTAATGGTGTTGAGCAACAGTGAACCTTGGTGTTTGAAGCTTTTAATGTCCTATTTTTAACACCATTGTGATTACTGCTATCCATCTCCTCTTGCTGTCCTTGACTCATCAATTAATCACTCTCAAGCCAAGCAGCCCTTGATGTCATTTGAAAGTAGGTCCCTCATCCCGCTGGTCAGATCCCAGCATGGGTCCGCCCTGAGTGAATGCTTTTCCTCCAAGAGCAAAGCAGAGAAAATGACACCAACCAGCTCTGGGCACTGCTCATCAGTGTTTTCTCCCACCTCCCACATCCACTGGTCCAAGTTTTAACCCAAATAGATGGCCCTGCCAATTAGCACAGGACACAGTTACTGAGAAGTTTTCTGCAGTTGGGAGTGGGCAGGAAATCCAACTTCCTTATGCCAACATACATATAGTGCACAACCTTTAACCTCAGAACTTGGAAACTAGATGCAGTCGATACCTGTGAGTCTCAAGCCATCCTGGTCTGTAGAGTCCTGGGTCAGCTGGAGCTACCTAGCCAGGCACGTTTGATCCATAAACATAAAAGCATACCCCACCACTCATGGCTCAGTGCTCTCTGGGCTTTGGTACCAACATCTTGTTATTCCCAGGATCTTGGTCTATCACTTCCTCCCCCCCATGCCACCATCTTTCTCATCTCTGCCAGCTTATCTCGTCACACACTCTCATCTGTGATCGCAGGAGAAAGCCCTATTTTGAGTTCATCTCCTCTTCCAACTCTTGTTTATGTTCCCCCTCTGCCAAGCTTCTCAAAGGAACACACGGCCCCTTTCCACACCACTTCCGTACCCACTGCCTTTCCAACCCAGAATAGAGTAGCTTCCACCCTGCTTCCTGAAGGAGTTGTTCTGCCTCAGTCACATGTATCTGCTGCTGGAAATTGTCCAGTACTGGATCAGACATGGCTCTCGCTACTTAGAAACACCAGCAGCTTACTTTCCATCTCAGAGAATGCCACCTCTTTTACTCAGATACCCAGTCCAGAAATGCAGTGTATCTTAACTGCCTCAATTCCCATGATCCCCACATTCATTCATCAGCACTTGAGTGCTGTATAAAATGAACAGTCATTCCTGCCATGTTCACACATGGCCGCCAAGGACTTGGACCTGACTGGGCAGTGAGGAAATGGAAAAAAGACCAACAAGGATCCGATGGTCTGTACTCTCTGCTGCAGAAACCGCAGCACCCCAGAAGCTCAGTGGGAAGAAAGGTTATTACCAATAAACAAGAAGGCAGGGTTTATGGTTTACCGACAGATCAAGGAACCAGGTTTAGCTGACCTCAGTAAGCACTCTCTGTGGGGAACAGTCTTCAGGCCGTAAACATCCAGTGGAAGAACAATATGGTGGATAACCTCTGCACACATTATCAGCACTCACACACAGATCAGACGAAGGCTTTGCCATTTCCCTCCGGTTTTCACCCTTGGGGAGAAGGCTTTGTCATCTGCTCCATGGGTAGGCTGAGGCTCTGGTGTTCTGGTCAACAGCACACATGCACTCAGGACTTCGCTCACTCCGGGCTTCCTCGGCTCCCTGCACAGTTCCACTTGTCCTTAGGTTAGGGCTATTTACCACACATAGATGATTAAATTCCTCTGACCAATGAATTCCAGTTAAACTCTTTGATAACAGAGAGAGTGCTCTATAAACAACACACCCGATTCCCATAAGTGCTTACATTACAGGTCAGAGAAAACAAGAAATTTTCCTAAGCACCAAAGTACTTAAAAATTGACTTGAATGTAGCTTGGTCGTAGAGTACTTGCCTCAGATTCACACAGTCAGGTTTGATACCCAGCATGAAGGAAATAACAAAATGAATGGATCAAACTGAATAAACCACCTAATTTTTTGAAAGAATTCATGGGGTGATGGGCATGGTAGCATACACCTTCCAACACTTAGGAGGCAGAGACACTTGGAGCCCTATGAGTTCAAGGCCAGCCTGGTCTGCAAGTTGAGTTCCAGGCCAGTCAGTCCCACACAGACCCTGTTTCAAAAAACAGCAACAATAACAAAAAAATAAAATCTCAACAACAAAACAAAAACATGGGCTGAGGAAATGAGGGCACTGACTTGGGTTTGATTCCCAGCACCTCTGGTGGGGAGGCAGTTACAGGAGGATTCCTGGAGCTTGATGGCCAGAAAATCCAGCAGAATTAATACACTCGGGTCCAGTGAGAAACCCTCTCTCAATAAGAAAGAAGCAATTGAAGAGGACACCTGACACTGACCTCTGGACTTCACACACACACACACAAACATACACACATGCCTGCACATACACATGTATGTGTACACACAAGTGAAGACTGTTCTTTTAAAGATTTATTCATGTGAATGTTTTGCCTGCTGAAGAGAAATTCAAAATGAGCCCACTGAAATCAGGAACAAGACAAGGTTGTCCACTCTCTTCGTATCTATTCAATATAGTACTTGAGGTTCTAGGAAAAGCAATAAGACAACAAAAGGAGATCAAGGGGATGCAAATTGGAAAAGAAGTCAAACTTTCACTGTTTGCTGATGATATGATAGTTTACATAAGCGACCCCAAAAATTCTACCAAGGAACTTCTACAACTCATAAACACCTTCAGTAATGTAGCAGGTTACAAGATTAACTCAAAAAATCAGTAACCATCCTTTATACAGTTGATAATTGGACTGAGAAAGAAATCAGAGAAACATCACCCTTCACAATAGCCACAAATAACAAAATATCTTGAAGTAACTTTAACCAAACAAGTGGAAGACTTGTATGACAAGAACTTTAAATCTTTGAAGAAAGAAATTGAAGAAGACACCAGAAAATAGGTGGGTATAATTAACATAGTGAAAATGGCAATCTTACCAATAGCAACATACAGATTCAATGCAATGCCCATCAAACTCCCAGCAAAATACTTTACAGACTTCGAAAGAACAATATTCAACTTCATATGGAAAAGCAAAAAACCCAGGATAGTCAAAAAATTCTGTACAATAAAATGGAAAAAAAACATATTCATCAAATGGCATAATTGGATATCAACATGTGGAAGAATGAAAATAGACCCGTATCTATCACCATGCACAAAACTCAAGTCCAAATGTATCAAAGAACTCAACATAAAACCAACCATACTGAATCTCATAGAAGAAAAAGTGGGAAGTACACTTGAGTTAATTGTCCCAGGAGACTGCTTCCTAAATATAACCCTAGTATCACAGACACTGAGAAAAACAATGAATAAATGGGACCTCCTGAAACTGAAAAGCTGTAAAGGAAAGGACATGGTCAACAAGACAAAATGGTAGCCTACAGAATGGGAAAAGATCGTCACCAACCCCACATCGAACAGAGGGCTGATCTTCAAATATACAAAGAACTCAAGAAATTGGTCATCCAAAGAATAATCCAATAAAAAATAAGGTACAGACCTAAACAGAAAACTCAACAGATGAATCTAAAATGACTGAAAGACATTTAAGGAAATGTTCAACATCCTTAATCATCACAGAAATACAAATCAAAACAACTCTCAGATTCCATCTCATACCTGTAAGAAAGGACAAGATCAAAAACACTGATGACAACTTATGCTGGAGAGGTTGTGGGATAAAGGGAACAGTCCACTGCTGGTGGGAGTGTAAACTGGTATGGCTGCTTTGGATATCAGTATGGCTATTTCTCAGAAAATTAGTAAACAACCTACCTCAAGATCCAGCAATTCCACTTTAGGTTATATCCAAAGGATGCTTAATCATACCATAAGGACATATGGTGTGTGAAGTCCTTCTGTATATATAATGGAAGAAATAAAATGCACATAAAAGTACAATATTTTAAGTATGATTGTACCAATATTTTAAGATTTTAATATTTTAAGATTGATTGCACCAATAGAGAAACAGTCTCACTGTTAGACGTGTATATTGTAAACATCCTTGTGTGTGTTCTTATGTATATGGGTACACGTGTGTGTAAGGACTGAGGGTTGTGGGCTGGAGAGATGGCTCAGAGGTTAAGAGCATTGCTTGCTCTTCCAAAGGTCCTGAGTTCAATTCCCAGCAACCACATGGTGGCTCACAACCATCTGTAATGGGGTCTGGTGCCGTCTTCTGGCCTTCAGGCATACACTCAGACAGGACTGAGGGTGGTGTACATGCACGTGTATGTACCTGCCTTATTGGCCAAAGGTGATATCAGGCTGCTTCCTCTTCCTCGATTATTTTCTATATATTGAGGGAGAGGCTCCCACTGAACCTGGGGCTCCCCCTTTCCTCTAATCTCTAGCTAACTCTCTCCACAGATTCCAGGTGTCTACATCCTGGAAATGGAACTACAGGCAGGCCTCCACAAACACCTAACTTTTACATGATTGCTGGAAGCCCACACTCCAGTTCTCATTCCTGTGTGGCAAGTGTAACACACATGGAGCCATCTCTCCAGCCCCACTGGAAACTCTGTATGGAAATTTGCCACCAGTTTTTTTTTGGGGGGGGGAGACAGGGCAATCCCACATTTAAGAACTAATGATATAGTTATTAATATTCTTGTTGCAGGATTGTTAATAAGGAAATACTGGAAACAAGGGGAATTTACTTGTTAAATAAACATGGAATATGATCTATACCACAGTGGGATTGCCCAGTATTCGATACCTGGGATGGCTCCTGGAACAAAATGGGCCACACCACTAGGTGTGGATTAATGAATGAGTTCAAAGGGAACTTTGAACATGCTGTGTTTTATATATCTATTATTTGTTCAATAAATTATTGTTTGAGGGCTATTACATAAACAAACACAGTCACTTCCCTTACCAAATTTTCAGACTGTTAGAAAAGATGGTCCCAGGGGGAGAGACATGAAGGAGAACAGGGTGTGAGAACACATATACATATACAACGATGCCATGATGAACCCCATTACTTTGTACTAGCCCTGGAGTTTAATATGGGGGCTGTGAGGTGGCTTGGTGAGTTAAGGCACTTGTTGCCAAGATTGGTGGCCTACATTCAAAGCCTGGGACCCAGGTGTTGGAAGGAGAGGACCAACTCCCATAAGTATCCTTTGACCTCCACACATGCATGTTTGGAACACATACATGTACACAGACACAAGTAAACATTAAATAATAAAAGCTAATCATAAACTTACAAGATTAAAATTCAAGGCTGGAGAGCCATCAATCAGTGGATAAAGAATACAGTTTAGCACAACCATGAGGACCTAAGTTCAAATCTCTGTACCCACAAGGCACTAGGCATAGTAATTTCTGTAACCATAACATTTCTGTAGGAGATGGAGGCATAAACAGGAGAACCACAATGCGGCACCATTTGTTGGAGGCTAGGAATATTTTAAAGGGAATGCAATTTTAATGTATTTGAGTTTATAAAGACTGTAGGACTTTGAAAGTTATTTATGTTTTAATGTGAGATCCTGGGGATGAATAAGAAGGAAAAGGTAGTGATGTGTTTGTGTGTCAGATTGCCAAGGGGTCAGTTGTGCTGGCTGGTCTTAGGTCAACTTGACACAAGCTGGAGTCATCAGAGAGGAGAGAGCCTCAACTGAGAAAATGCCTCCATTAGGTCCAGTTGTAAGGCATTTTATTACTTAGTTATTGATGGCAGGGTGGCCCAACTTATTATGGGAGGTGTCTTCCCTGGGCTGGTAGTCCTGTGTTTTGTAAGTAAGCAGATTGGATAAGCCATGAGGAGCAAGCCAGTAAGCAGCACCCTTCCATAGCTTCTTCATTAGTTCCTACACTGTTTGAGTTCCCGTCCTGACTTTCCTTTGATGGTGAATAGTGATAGGGAAGTATAAGCCAAAACAAAAAACAAAAACAAAAACAAAACAAAACAAAAAAACCTTTCCTCCCCAACTTGTTTTTTGGTCATGGTGTTTCTTTGCAGTAATAGATACCCTGACTAAGATGGGGTTATTCTCATTCAAACCACCACATATGGCTTTGGTGTTGTCTTTAACATTGTCTTATTGTGCTTAGTTCTTGTAGTTACATCATGTTTGAGTAAAATCTGAAGTTGTAGTATTTGGGGAAGAGTCTCAGACTCTAACATAAAGCGTTGACTTTCATGCAAGGGGCCAAACATCTTACTCATTTTGAATAAGGCAGCTTAAAGAAATCAACCAACTGGGGCTGGGGATATAGCTCAGCAGGGGAGTACTTACCCTGCAGAGCCGTGGGCTCAATCCCAGTACTGATTTATTTGAATAAATAAATAAAAACAATAATGTCCAATGAGCAATTGTGTTTCATCTATGTAAACTACCAACTGAAATAAAGTTTAAGAATGTTTTATTCGAAGAAAATTGCATCACAAATGTCAATGAAGTGTAGAACTGAACACTTTCCCTTCCTTTAGAGTATGAAGCCGAGCTGCCTACCCTTCCAGAAGGATACAAAGTGAAACAGGAAGCTGCTGTCACAGTGAGCTCGGTGAGTATGGGCTAGGCCTTAGTGAGAACAGCACCAGTAACCCCGAGGGTCACATCCTGGTTTGGGAGGGAGGGAAAGGGGAGACACTGGAGCTAGAACTTGCAACATGGTTCTTCTGAGAATGGAGTGGCTTCAAAACCATCATCTATGCACTTTGAACCTTAGAGTAGATTCTATTAAATGGGACAGCTCACATTTCCTTGTGACCAGCTCATGCTGTAAAACATGTTTACAATGGATCTATGTAGTAACAGTAGTGTGTAACATGAGGGCCTGCTTGTTGGGGTTTCTGTCCTACCCAGTTCCTACAGTCATTATGTCCCAAAGAAAAATCACACAGAATTTTACGTAAGTTATAAACTGATTGGCCCATTAGCTCAGGCTTCGGATTAGCTCTTATATCTTATATTAACCCATTATTCTTATCTATGTTAGCCACATGGCTTAGTACCTTTTTCAGCAGGGTAGGTCACATCCTGGACAGGACTGCAGAAAGAGCTTCCTTCTTCCCAGAATACTCCTGTTCTCATTGCCCCGCCTCTACTTCCTGTCTGGTTGTCCCACCTATACTTCCTGCCTGGCTACTGGCCACTCAGTGTTTATTTAAAACATAATTGACAGAATACAGAATTGTCCCACACCAGTAGTGGATAGAGCAGGTTTCTCTGTGTGCTGAGAGAGGACCAGCAGCCAAGAAGGGAGAACCCTTGGAAATATACCTCAGAATTGCATACCTTTGACAGCCTTAATTAAAAAAAAAAAGACTCAGGGTAAAGGGACTTGAACAAGGTCACAGGGATAGAACCAAAACTGAATTTTTTAGATTTTGAGTAATTTTTTTTTTTTACTGCAGTGGTCTCTGACAAACTCTTGTATTTAAAACTCTTTCTTGTTCTGTGATTGTTCCTTTTTGCAAACACCCTGTTCTTGCTTTGTGGGTGCAATTCTTACACAAATTTCTCTATAGATACTGTCATTCTCTTTCCTGAATTGTTTTTCCTAAGATAGTTGTTCTATTTATTGGTTTTAGTTTTTCTTTGTTACACAGGGTCTCACTATATAGCCAGGACCAGGCTGGCATGGAACTCCACATGTAGTTCAGATGACCTTAAACTCTTAATTCTCCTGCCTCAGCTTTCAGAGTGCTGAGGTGCGAAGTGTACACCATCATACCTGACTATGCTTGCTTGCTTTATTTGCTCATTTATTTTGGAGACAAGGTCTTGTGGTGATCCTCCTTACTCTGCCTCCTAGATGGTGGTGGGATTACTGGTATGTACCACCATGTCCAGCCATGGCTATAATTCTTAATCTTTTTTTTTTTTTTTTGCTGTTGATTTTCTTGATCCGTGTAAGATCTTTAGTTGTGTTCAATCTTAAAAGGGAACTTAAGAATATTCTTTTATATAGTCAAGTACCTACAGGCTATAACAGCATCGGAACCAGCAGATGATTGGGTAGATGGATAGGTAGGTAGGGAGATGGTAGAGAAACATAGTAGATAGAGTATGAAGATAGATAATAGATGGATAGTTGATTGGTGATAGAGATAAGAGGTGATAGATAGTAGATAGTTGACTGATGATCTACATAGGTAGGTAGGTAGATGACAGGAGCCTCACTGGTGAATCATCTTACACATTAACTAAAGCTGTGTGTCTTAGAGTTTGCTATTGCTGTGAAGAGACACCATGACCCCAGCAACTCTTATAAAGAAAACATTTAATTGAGGGGGACTTGTTTACAGTTTCAGAGGGCTAGTCTGCTATGATCATGAAGGGGAGCATGGCAGCATGCAGGTAGACATGGTGCTAGAGCTGAGAATGCTATGTCTTGTAGGCAACAGGAAGTTGACTGCCTGTCACACTGAGGGAAACTTGAGGAAAAGAGACCTCAAAGTCCGCCCCCACAGTGACACACTTTCTCCAACAAGGCCACACTTCCACATAGTGCCACTCCCTTTGGGGGCCATTTCCCTTCAAACCATCACAGGGCAGTCGCACAGCAGGCCGCCTGCAAGCTGGAGAACCTGAAAGCCAGTGTTGCTTACTCTGAGGCTGAAGGCATGGGACACTCGGACACAGGGAAGCTGGTGGTGTATCGCTCAGTCCAAGTGCAAAGGAGCAAGACTTAGGAAGCTGCAGATGCAAGTTCCAGGATCAAAACTCTGTAGCAAGGAGTCCCAGCATCTAAGGCAGGTACAAAGCAAAGACACTCTAGGAGAGAGAGAATTCATTTCCTTCCACGTCTCTGCTACCTGCCTTGGGGGTCCCTATTCACATTGAGGGTGAATCTTTCCCAGCTCAGGCCCAGCTTAGTCTCTGATCACCAGATTGCCTTTACAGACTACCAGATAGCTTTATCAGTGATCTCAGTCAGCCTTAGTGTATTCAGCTTGGCATCTAAAAGTAGCCATCACAGCTGGTGTGCTTGCTTTCCTGTGTGTACACGTCTTGACTTTCTAGATGGGTCTCTTCTATGAATAGGGAAGCATGGCCTAGGTGCTCATGGGAGTAGTTGCCTCTGGAAGACTTCAGGGTGACCAGGAATAGGGCCAATATCTCCGAGTGGGGCAGTAGACCTGTGAATCAGAAGTGGGTTTTGGGGTGCCATTACAATATGCCACAGGAGTTCTCCTCAGGCTTTGCTTTATCTGTTTAGGGAAGAGCCACTGGGGAGGCTGGGGGCCCACAGGGCATGCTGGTGCAAAGGAAGCTACTCAGATGTCAACAGGAGACAACAGCCCAAGGGAAGACATGGACAGCAGCCATGTTTCACGTGACCTCTGGGTGGCATTGCCTTTCTCCTTCTTACTGTTGCAATGCCCAGCAGTTCAGAGTGCCGTGCCCCTTGGGGTTCTACTGGGAAGAGTTGTATCCTCTAGACTGTTTCCTATGGCTTCCCCGCCTTCTTCTCTTGATCATCCAGGCTCACTTCAGCCCTGTTTATTTTTCCCACTTTCATATGTGTTTGCAGGTTTGTGTGTATACGGGCATACATGTGGTGCACGTGTGTTGGTGTCAGGGCTTTTCGTCCTGTCATGTTTGCACCTGGTTCACTGAGAAGGGTCTCTCAATCAAGCCCAGAGCTTGCTGATGCAGCCTTCCCAGGCCAATTGCTCTGGAGATCTTCTTCCACCTCAGAGGCTGGAATTGCAGGGGGTTGCCATACCCACCTGGTGTTATTCCATTTTTCACACTTGTGGGACAAGAGCTGTTACCACTCCCCAGCCTCCTGCTTCTTTTTGGTTTGTTGGCCAATGTTTCAACCATAGGTGGGTGATCTTCCTCTCCCTTTTCCCCACTAAGGTTTTTAACTCCACTGTCATTTAATTTTGTTTTTCCTCCCCCTCAGAACTTAGGACCAAACCCAGGGCCTTGTACTTGCTAGGCAGGTACTCTACCACTTAGCTAAATCCGCAACCCCTTTACCCATTTAAAAGCATGCCAGGAGGGAAGGGAACACTTCTATTCAGAATGTCCCCCAACCTATCTATCTGACACAGAAGTTCATTCCCTTACAAGCTTATAAAGGAAAATCAGGCAGTGTGGCACACACCTTAATCCCAGCACTTGGGAGGCAGAGGCAGGCTGATCTCTAAGTTCAAGACCACCCTGCTCTACAAATTGGTTCTAGGAAACCAGGGCTACACAGAGAAACCCTGTCTTAAAAGCAAAAAACAAAAAAATGATGATGATGATGATGATAAAACCGAGGGCTGGTGATACGGCTCGGTGTGCAAAGGTGCTTACTGCTAAGCCTGATAACCTGAATTCAGTTCCTGGGTCTCAAAGGGTGGAAGGAGAGGACCAACTTTCACAGATTGTCCTCTGACCTCCATGTATGTGCTGTGGCATGTGTGTATGCCACTACCATAAATAAGCTGAATTTTAAAATTAAAAAAATAAAGAAAATCCAATTATCAAAGCTGTTCTGGAACTGACTGCCCTGCCCTGCTGCCTGTAGGTCTCACCGTTGGATGAGCTGGTTCCTCATGGCTTCAACATGGAGCACTACCTCCCAGTGCACCCATTCCCAGTGATGCCTCCTGTGCCTTGTCCTCCCAGGAAGGCAGAAACGGTAGAGCCCAAGACCTGTAAGTGAGGAGGCAAACATGCATCATCTGTAGTTTGGGGTGTAATGTTGACACTCACAGGGTGGGGTGGGGGTGCTCAGACACATAAGCATGTGTGTTGTAGTTCATTTTGTTTTGTCTTTGGAGGCAGGCCTGGAGCTCCCCAAACGGGCTAAGCTGGCTGGAGCGAGCCCCAGGAATCCTGCTCCCTAGCCCTGGGGTCACAAGCCCAGACTGCCACACTTGGCTTGTTCACATTGGTGCTGGGAGTTGAACTCAGGACCTAAGCTAAGCTGCCCCCCCCAGCCTCCCCAGCCTCAGAGTTCTCATTTGTAAGGGGAGTGTTGTTGGATCGCTGACGTCTTTGGAAGGTTAGCGTGTAGTCGAGAGAATGTAGCAAGCACTGTGATTCTCTACTAAATACTGAGCTAGAGACAGGGAGGGTAAACAGATGCACAGAGTAGAAGAAAGGTCTTGTCGTCAGGTCTCCAGGTCCAGCCTGCTGGTCCCTCAGCTCATAAAGCCTTCCTTTGCTCTTTCTCCTTGTGTTGTGCCTTCTGCTCTGGACCCTGGTTAGGCACTGCTGCCATTATTGTGGCTGTCAGGCCCCATCTGTTGAAGTCCCCTATCCCAGCTCCTCTCTAGACTCAGTTTCTGTTGTACCTCATGCTCACACCCCACTGCTCCCGCAGACACTGGCCTCTGTGCTGTGACTGCCTGGGTGCTGCAAGCAGGTACCTGGAGGCCATGACCTGGGCAGGGCCCGGACCACATCCTTGCCAGAGTCCAGAGGCTCACTGGGCCGAGTTTAGTCTCTTAGTAACCCAGTCCCCCTCAGCAGCCTGAAGCAGACAGTGACAAGTCAGACTGTGCTGTTGAATAGATGACACTTTTTGTTTTGTTGTTTTTTCAGACAGGGTCTCCCTGTCTTGCCTTGAACTTCTATGTAGCCAGGTTTGCCTGAAATGTTTGGTCCTCCTGCCACTACTTCTTGAATTCTATAATACAGGCCTGTACCCCCACATCCAGTTTATTGGGTGCTGGAGATCAAAGCCAGGGCTTCCTGCATGCTAGGCAAACACTCAGCCAGCTGAGATGCTACAGCACCAGCCCAGATGGAATATGTTCTCCTCCCTCTATCTCTCCCTCCTCGCCTCCCTCCCTTCCTCTCTCTGTTAAGCATTGAATATCTTTTTCAGATGAACCCAGGTCTTTTGGGTTTTTCAGTGGGACTATTCTTGTTTCAGGTTCCCCCAAAGATTATCTGGAAATGTTCATCTTTCCAGTTCTGCTCCCTGGAATGGCCAGCCTGCTTCACCAAGCAAAGAGAGAAAAGTGTTTTGAGGTCAGTGGTTTGATGGGATGTCCTTATTTTTAGGTTCTTGCTCATTCATTTCAGTATGATGGCAGCCCATGAGCTTGGTACCATTGAGCTATTATCCTCAAAAACGACCCCTTTACAAGGGAAGCCCGAGTTTGGGTCACTTGCCCCCTGCCTCCTGCTCAGCCACAGCATCTAGTACTACATAAATGTCCATGTCCTGCCAACTCTGGCCACCTGGGCTCCCTAGAGGTCTCTGTTGCCTAGCCTTCTGCCTACCCTGATGGGAAATTTGGCATCAAGCAGCTCTCTTAGTTCTATTCCCATTTGTTGTGAATGCTGTTTAACCCCGTGTCCTGCTTTCATTTCCGTGGCCGTGACAGTGCCCTGACAAAGTGCAGCATAGGAGAGGAAAGGATTTATTTGGCTTACATTCCAGGTTCCAGTCCACCACAGCTGAGAAGTCACAGCACAGGGACTTGAAGCAGCAGCGTGTCGTATCACACCCACAGCTGAGAGAAACAAAGCATGCAGGCCCCTTGCTCTCCTCTCTCTTATACACTCCTAGGAGCCCCTGCTTAGGGAATGCTGCTGCCCACAGTGGGCTGTGTCTTCCTACATCAATTAATAGTCAAGGCAGCCTTCCCCAGACATGCTCACTGGTCAGTCTGATCTAGATAATTCCTCAGTAGGGCTAATCTGAGGTGACTCGAGGTTGTGTCAGCTAAAGCTAACAGTATACCATGCTTGCTTCTTATTGGTCTCTGGATTGGGCTGGTTCCTCTGGCCTCTCCTTTCTCCATTTTTTTTTTTTTTGCTAATTTTTTGATTGGTTGGTTTAGGTTTGAAGTTTGTTTGTTTTTTGAAACAGGGCCTCATGTACCTCAGGCTATCCTCAAACCTTATCTTGAAACCCAATCCTCCTACCTGACTCCTCAGGCTGGCATCAAAATGCTATGCCACTGCCTCCAGCTTCCCTGCTACCTACTCTGGGAGATGGTGTGATCCAAGTGCGCACATATGTACTACCGTGCTGAAGCTACTTAACCCCATCCATTGATTCTGTCACAGCCTGATAGAAGCCCTCAGGGCTTTTCTTCTCTGCCTCTCACAGGACGATTTGGAGGACTGCTTTCCACATGGTTTTGAAAATTAGACTTTTGGATGTCCCCCTCTGTTTTGTGAACTTTCCCTAGGGCAACACAAACGCTCTACTTACCTTAGATAAGGCACTAATGACCAATCAGTGTAACAATTTCACCGAAATCCAACTTGGCCAACCAATGTTTATTGGGCTTACTTACAGAGTGTGGGTAAGGAGTTGTAATGGGAGTGTGGGTGACCCCAAAACAGTCGAATCACTGCCAAGTGTCACTCCAGCACGGAAGGCGACCTCTCCATTGCTGTATAGATGGTGTCTCCCTTTCAGTTAACCCTCTACACACTATACATTTTAGCAGCTGCATCTTGTAAGGGGAGAGGTATTGGAAGGAGTATCTAGAATCTCAGGTGAGGGTCTAATGACCCTCCCTCCCTACCCCTGCAAAGAAACAACAAGCCCAGCCTTGAACATCTCCTGTGGGTAGTTTCAGCTGCTCTCATGGAGACGGTAATGGCCACCATGCTCAGAGGACAGTGGTCCACAACATCACAAGAGGGTAACCTGTTGGTTGAGCACCTGCTCTGCACCTGCCTCTCTGCTAAGAGCATCCGCATCCTTTATATCAGTGTTCACATCAGCCCCAGGAAATTCTCTGAGTATTGCCTGTGTCCAGTGATGAGAAGAGGGAAGGACGCAGAGCTTCAGTAGGTTCCAGAATTCAGATCCAGGTGAACGGACTCACAATGGCACTTAGACAGTAGGCAGTGATTATGGTGAAAGGCAGCTGACAGACAAAGCCGGGGTCTGTAAATGTTATCACAGTCAATGACATCACCACATGTTTGGCCTTCTGACCCCACAAGGGTCACTTTCTGAGACAAACTGGTCCTCCTTTGATGGTATTTTTCTATTCCATGGAGACTGTTTCCATATGCCCTACAAAATGTTTAGCTTTTGCTTAGTGAGACCTTGATGTCACCCTTCTCCCCTCACCTTGTACCTGTGACTTACGCTTATACTGTGGCTCCCAGTTGCTCCCCACTTGGATCCACGTGACATAATGTTCCTTTTGGTAGACTTCCATGGTAGTTGTCTCTTTACTTAAAGCAAAAATGAATTAGAAGATATTATTCATATTTGTGCCCTGCCCCATTTCATTGTTTTGTTTCAGGCAGGGCCTCATGTAGCCTAGGCTGGTCCCTGACTTACTCTATGGCCAAAGATTACCTTGAACTTCTGATCCTTCTGTTGCCTCCCGAGAGCAAATGTGTGTTACCATGCCTGACTTAAAGATTGCTGGGGATCAAAGTCAGGGGGTTATGCATGCTTGGGTTGGAGTCTGCAAACCGGGGGGGGGGGGGTTATTCTCCACCCTACTGGTAGGAATTGGCTCAGCATGCTGTGTTAGCTTCTGTCACTACAGTGAAACTCCTGAGATAATCAACTGATGGAGAGAAAATGTTTGGTTTGGGCTCACAGTATTGGAGGTCCCCCATGACAGAGTCACTGTTGCTTCGTGCCAGGCACCACACCATGGTGGCAGCAGAGGGCAGAGTGAAACCACTCACACCACAAGCTAGAGACCAGAGAAGGGGCTGGGACTCCAGTCCCTTTTGGTGACACTCCAGAGACCTGGACTTTGTATTCTGTCCAGCTCTCCCGACAGCACTACCAAGGAGAAGACCTTGAACACTTGGGCTACCATACTACGTGACCATGGCAAATCTACATGATGTTGCCACCTAGCCTGGCTTTCAAGGGTCTCTCCAACTCCCCTTCCTCCCCTTCCTCCTCCTCTCGCTTTTCTTTTCAGGTACCCCCCCCCCCAGCTAAACAGATGCTCATGCCCCTTTCCCTGCCCCAGCCTCACCACGTCAGGGCCTCTGTGCATTTGCTCCTCCTTGTTTTAGAAATCACTGCTTGTGCTCCTCTCCTCTGCATAGTCAAGTGCTACATGTTTTCCAGACTCAGCTGCGGGACACCTCCCGTATCCCAGCTCCCTGGAGGCCTAAAGGAGAGGCAACTGATCCCAGCTCTCAGATTTCAGAGCGCTCATCTGTTCCTCATTTTATGGTAAATTCAGACAGCCTCAATTAAGACATTCTTAACCCACAGATATTTAATTTTATACATGCCTGCCTTCCAACTATTTTGAGTATTCTGAGGACAGAGTCCCTATCTTAGTTTTATACTTCTCAATGCTCAGTAATACTCTACTAAGCCCCTAGCGTTGGTAAACACAGGGCTGGTCCTCAGTGAGAGCACAGTTAGACAGCAAAGATGCACAGTTGTTACTATGTCCTTGGCCAACACCCGTCTTCTTTTTGGAAAGCCATTCTGTTGGACTTATTCCCTAGAGAGAAGTTCTGGACAGGCTGGGGAGCAAGACATCTGTTCCTGAGTTTTAGTCAGTAGCAGGAGAAAGCTCCGAGGCCAGGAAATGCACAGCCTGATTCCCTACCAGTAATTAGCAGTCAGTAAATCAGGCCTTGATGAGGAGCAAGACTCTGGAGCCAACGTTATATAATTTTGAAGTCTGTCTCTGGCAGGTGTCGTGCCACACACTTGCTGTCTCAGCTTCCAAGGACAAGTTGAAGACTGGCCTTGGCACCTTGGCATGCTGGCATCTCAAGAATGAAATTTAGAAAGGGACTGAGGGCATTGCAGCTCTTCTCCAGCTCTTCAAGGCCCTGAGTTCAAACCCCCAGCACCAAGGGTCAAAAGCATTATGTCTGCTTGGGACTGATCATATCCTAGACCCTGAGGTCACCTTCATAAAGCTAGTGGCTCTCGTCTTCCGAGTCACCACAGTTTTCATGCGGATACAAGGAGGACAGTCAAGTGTTGCCCAAGGGATTCTTCTTGCGATAAGACAAGGCTACTGGTGCACTGTTCAGGGCAGACCGGAACCCACAGGGATCTCAATAAATGTTAACTCTGTAGCAATTTAGTGTCTCTGTGCTTCTCCCATGTAACCTCCCTCTTGTTTCTGGTCCCTGGTGTATCTCAGTGCTTGGCCCCAGCCCAAGGAAGGGTGGAGGTGGGAGAACAAAGGCTGCGATGATTTCACGAGTAGGTTTATTTTATTGATAACCTCATGGGAAAGGGGGAAGAGGGCCTTATTCAGACCTGTCAAGCAATACATCTTGGGTCTCTAGAAGGTTCTCCATCGTCATCAAACACCTGCTAGAGCCTGAGCAGTTCTACTCTGGCCCGCAGCTTGCATGACGGCTCAGCAAGGCCCAGCCCCAGCCCTGGGCCTACTCTTTCCTGACAGTACAGGTCAGTTGTCATCTGTGGTCCTGGGCACAGAGGAGGACAGGAACTTCATCCCTTCCACCCACGAAAGGCTATCTTCACATTGCTCTGTGGGAAGTGGTTAGTTTTGCCACATGGGCCTGGTGCATTCAAACTGAGGCCCTTCAATGCTTCCCCCTATCTTGCTCCTCCACACCCAGCCAGACCACAGTGAACACAGTGTTTTCACTAACACGTGGCTTTGCTGAGGTAGACTGTTGTAACCAGAGACTGCTCTTTTGTTTCCTGGCTGCCCAGACCTGAATAATCACACAGAAACTATATTAATTATAACACAGTTTGGCCTAATTAGTTCAGTCTTCTTATTGGCTAGCTCTTATATCTTAAAGTAATCCATTTCTATTATTTTGTGTGTCTCCACCAGGCTGTGGCTTACTGGTTAAGGTTCTGGTGACCATCTCCTTTGGCAGCTACATGGCATCTCCTCAATTCTGCCTACTCTCTCTATATATCTCTTCCAGCCTGGCTATATTCTGTCCTGCCATAGGCTGAAGCAGTTTCTTTATTAACCAATGGTAATAAAACATATTTATAACATAAAGAGGGGAATCCCATACCATCTCCCCTTTTCTGTCTAAATAAAAAGGAAGGTTTTTAACTTTAA